AAATAATAAGGAAAAAGATAAAAGAAATAGTACAAGAAAAAGATAATACAATTAATTAAAAATAAAATTAATAAAATTGTATTTAATGTTCACAAAATTCCACCGTAAATATATTTATAATAATTACTAAGAGAATTATTGAAAAATTAATTGCTTCATAAATTTTTGTAAAATGAGTTATTAATAAAATGAGATGGGGTTGAGAATCATAGTCCGTTTGAGAAATGGTTCAATATGAACATGTTGAAAGAGAAAAGAACTCTGAGGATGATATGCTGGCCAAGTTGCGTGCTTCTCCTAGATTTTACTTGGTTCCTTTAAACAATTTTTCTTTATTTATTTTTTTATAAAATAGAGTAATATTTACGGTTTTTTCTGAGGAAAAAAGAAAAGAAAAGAAAACGTACAAGAACCCTCCATTAATTTGATTGATGAAGTCACGAATTGACTTAAATAATTATACTCTAATGAATGGGAAGGTTGCGTTTTGGACTTTTGGTTCATCTAAATTTGATTTACCAATCCCTTTAAGATAGAAGCAGCAATCAAACACGCAAACCAGATTTGTCCGTACGACAATTTTCAACACGACATTGCCAACTACTCTTGGCGGCTAGGTGCCATCGTGACTCAGATAAATAGTAATATAATAAGTAGTATCCCTGAAGCTTCTATTTTGTTATATTAGTACTCAGCTTACAAATGTAAGATTTACTTTATAGTATAATTTATACTGTATAATAGATTAAGAAGAATATTTATGTACTTACGTTTTCAAACAACGTTATGGTCTTGTCATTTTAAAAATCATTTTTATTGAGTATCACACACGTACTAGTGCAAAACAGATGCTAATTTAATAATTTTATTTTTGTGTTTGTTACTTATAGGGTAGCGGCAGAAATAAATCTATCGTATTTTTCCGTCTGCTCTATTTTTAACGAATGTCTCAATAATAACGATTATTGTGTCTATTCAACAAACACCAGAATACAGATTGACATATATGTTGAAGCCACACATAAAGGAAAACAATGAAATAGTTATCGTCCCCGCATTAATTAGAACCTCATTAAATAGAATACTGCCTCTTTTCCTTAATATAAGACCTCATTTGACTTTTACTTTGCTCTTAAATATAAAATCCTAATCCACTTTGTCTCTCATATTTGTACATTTTTCCCCCAAAGGAGTCCTTTTAGTAACAGTATATATAGTCAATATACTTAATTAATAAGGATATTTTAAAAAAAATAACACTTATTTCCAGCAATCTCATCAATCTTTTCCCAAAGCTCTTGCCATTGGTTCTCATGAGGATTTGCATAGACAGCAGTGAGAAACCATGATATCAAATTACCATAACAAACATGAGAACAATGAAGGAATAGTGAATGTCGCAACAAAACCTCAATTTTAAGGTGGGCATCATTCCAAAATAACCAAAAACCCCCCAGAGAAGCCTCTAGCCTCCACTAACTCAAAGTGTTTGAAACCCAACGAACAGATAACATGCGCCACCTTCGTCCTACTAATTCGTGTCTCGAGCAACACAACAAAATCTGGTTTATTCATCTAAATCAAATTCGCAAGAGTAGCTATAAAGCCTTTGCTAGTTGCGCCCCTACAATTCCACACTCTGAATTTCAACATTAGCAAACAAAGTTGGAGATTTACCTTCCTTTTTACATGACAACTCCTCATTCTATCCAAACTTAGAATTTCCACAGGGACCCTTTTGGCCAAAGACAAGTCTTTTTTCAATCCAGAAGCCCCTTTCTTTAGCCATGTCATCACCATAAAACTATCAGACCTCCTCTACTAAAGTTTTGCGAGGCTTGTGAGTCACTTCAAGACCCATATCATATCCCTCAGTAGTCCCCTCCCCACCCTTAAATGGTGCTAACCTAGTCTATCTTCTTAACTTAGGAGGTTGGGTCCTACTAGGTACATTGGAAATATCCATCAATAGAGCTATAGGGTTCTTTGGTGTAACAACACTACTCTTCTTCTTCTTTTTTTAACAAACCTCCTATCAGCTAAAATGACTTCCTTCCTCGCATCTTGAGCCATTCTATCGCCATTCCTAGAGACTACGTAGTTATCAAGGACAATAAAAGGTGAAGAGGTCTGAACACTACCACTTTCAACCTTCACTCTCCTCTATCTCCTATTCCTCAAGACTACCTTCCAAGGACTCTCTTCCAGGTTCAATAGCCCTATGCTTTCACGCTCTCTAACAACCATACCATCCTCTAGGTCTGCAACCACCTCATTACTATTCCCAAATTCCTTCTTCATGTCCAGGCAAGAGTTCTGAAAATGTCCATACATTCTGCAATTTGAGCACAAAGTATGCAAACTTTCATATTCAATTTGTTTCATCTCTCCATCAATCATATAATGAGGAATTAAAGGTTTAGTTAGGTTCGGTTCTACGTACACATGGGCAAACTTGTTTCTCCCTCTACCAACGATATACTTATCTAACCCAAGGACCTTACCTACCATACTATCCAAATTATATAAAATCTTCTTGTCAAACAATTCAACATCAATACCAAGAAATCTTATCCACGTAGCAATCCTGTCTATCTTTTCTTTGCGAGGGTATTTGGATTAGCTTATTTATGTAAGAAGACTTTTGTCTTATAAAGCACAAAACAACTTTTCTTATAGCTCCTACTTTTGAATACAAAGCTATAATGTAACTCTAACATTGTTCAATATATTCTATAAAGTGATACTTACACATTTGTCAATCATGACCAATAATCACAATATTGTCCTGTGCGATGTTTGTGCCAAGATTCATCATCTTGGATCCTTTTAATGCATGCTTGCAGAAAGTAGAAGAATTGAACTTTATCTGGCATCAAAAATTGCATTCGCTCAAAGATTTGGGAGATGGAAAATCCACAATATCACTCTTTCCATCCCCAGTTTGAGATTGCATTGCCAACTTCTAATTTTGAAACCAAGGTGAAGAAAACAAGTTTGAATGCTTTGTAAAACCATCGGTTTATTAGTTGAGTGGATTTATATGATCCAATTTAAATAACCATGGTGCAGAACAAAGCCCAAACAATGGGACAGCTACAACCCAAATAACTGTTTGCTACATCTACATTGCATTTCTAGTAGGGCTCGTTTGGTTCAATCCCATTGCACTTCGCATTGCAATGCAGTGCCATGTAATGGGTATACAATGTAATAGTAATTACGTCATTAGTGTTTGGTATGTTTATAAATGAGAGTGCAATGAAGTATTTTTTTAATGATCATATAAAATTAAAATGCGATAAAAAGACCATTTTACCCCACAGATAATTCCCTCGCTCGACCCCTTTTCCACATTCTCTCGTGTTCATCAGCTGCACCCATTCCTGTGGCAGAGGACGCGCACGGTAGACTTGCATGGTTGTTTTTTTCATACAGTTCTATGTCTAAGCTCTCCCTTTGTATTTGTCATTGTCTCGCTCAATTAAGGTCAAAGGTTAATGCACAACGTGGTTCTAATACTCATTTCTCACAAGATTTGATTAAGAAATTGGGTTGGCGATTAGACTTTGGCCATGTTGACACAGACATGGTTAGTGCAAAAATTCAATTCTTATTCCCTGGTATAGTTGGTTGTATCAAATAATTCTAATTTTAAGTCTGATTTTGTGTTGTTGTTAAAAAGAAATTTTGTTTGAATGGGGGTCTCTTATTATTTTACTTGTCCAAATATACAGAAGATAGAAACCGTAGGAGGTGAACCATGGACAACCATTTCAAGCTTAGATGATGCCAACAAACTTTGGTATGGTCTGTAATCATTGAAAAATTCATGAGTTATGCAAGTCATAACATATTTGATGAAAATAGTATATTAAAAACTTTGACATGTACTAAGTGCCAAATTATTGAATAAAAAACAACATTAAAAAAGAGGAATTCATCAACGTGTAATAATTTGCATAATGCGAACCCAAGAAAGAATGTTAGCTATATTACATAATCCAAGGACTTTACTGTTATGATGACTTGTGGGGTTTCATTCAAGATTTCTGGTTTTACTCATCCAAGTAAAATAATTTAAATTTGGCATATCATGTTGATTCCAACTTGAATTTACACTTTATCTTTTCTCCATGCCGTAAGTTTGTTTTTTGCCCTTTTAAAAACAAATTCTGATTGAATTTATACAGGAATTGATTTCTTGCAATTCAGGCCTTAGAGATAGTTGCTATAGTATAGGGATGTTTGATGCTGCAAGCTTAAGCTATCAAAGTGAGGAACTGATAGATGGATCAGGTCTTCTTCACATGATAGTGCAAATACCAGGATGAACAAATCAAGCAAACCTGAAGACACTTCCAAGTTGCAAAACGTGAACCTTTTCTTTATAAGACGTGTGTAAGGTGGCATCATATTAGATGCTCTTAGAAGGAAAATGTATTGTAAATATTTTGTAATGAATCTCAATGCCACGGAAAGCTATATATTTTCTCTATTTCCTCATTCAATATTTCTTTATGATAGTCACTATTCATTAAATTTTGAAATGCTTTAAAACAGTAAAACCAATCTGGTTACTAATTTTTGTGTGATGTAGCAGCAAGGCTCACTAAATTTGAGCAAATTAGTTATACTTCATGCAATTGAAAACAACAATGAAAGAGAGGATAGTGGTATGAGCAACCTTTAAATATAAATTTGCCGCACATTTTATTTAGAAGTGCATAAATAAAAAAGATGTCTTATGCAGCCATACACACCACATAATTAAATGTAGCACTTGTGATACCTAAACAAAAACTCAAACATGGAGTTCCTCTAATCAAGCACTAGTAAAATAGTTATACTAGCTAGTTGATGACATTGCGAACCCAAGCAACCTTGAGTTCATCTAGAATGAGTGGAAATCCAATAATTAGATTCTGAGATTTAGCAATTCTAACATGAGCTCTGTTGATCTCTTCAAATGTCAGCCCTTCAACTTTTAGCAGTTCAGTGTATAGTTGTTGAGCAACTTTCACAAGAGAAGAATCCTGACGAGCCTCAACAAATGATTTGCGTATGTTATCGGAGACTTAGATCAAAGTCTTAAAAGATTCCTTCATTGCTTCAGACAACAATTCTAAACCATCACGACTTGTTCTACACCTCTTCCTAGATGTTGAGTGTGCCTCAGTTGAAGAAACATGTGGCTGGCTGTCATTTTGATCCGCTCAACATATTGTTCAATAGTAGGCTCAGCTTGTTCATTTTCAGTTGTTTTTTCATTTTCATTTGCCTCCTGTTCAGCCTCCTCAAGAGCTTGAGAAGGCATTACAGTGCTTTTGCCAGTGGCTCGATCCTTTCCCTATATAAATGCTAGCTTTTCAAAGTGCCGTAACTTCCTATTGCAAAATTTACCAGCATTCTTGTTCCCCTAAAACCACAATAATATTTGTAAAATAACAATAATATGAACCAGTTTTGCCTCTTCAAAAATAAAAAAAAGCCATACCTTCACATATTGCTCCCACACTGCATCCTCAGCTTTAATGCACTTGTTTACTGGGTCCCGACCAAATCCAGATGTATTGGCATCATAAATCATGTTGTGTACAATCTGCCACTGGTGCTTTAATGTCCTCAATCTAGACCATATGCTGGGATGTGCTTTGATGTTGGTAACCGGAATCTTTTCTTTTAGCATTTCCTCTAACTTGCCCACATAGCCTCCACCAAATCCTATATCGACAACAAACCTGCCTTTCACCTTTAATTGAACCAAACAATCAACAAGTACATCATCCTCAGAATCAGTCCACAAATGCTTCAGTCCGTTGGAGGCATTATCCTGCTCTTGATTGTCCATTCTAACAAGATCATATAAACACATTGAAACTAGGTATAATGTGAAACACACAAATTGATAATGGAAAATAGCTTTCAAACACATTCCAACAAATTTGAATTACACATATATCATAAAATCATATATAACATGAAAGTTTTAAATCCAAATTAAAGTACTGATAACATAAAAATATCAAATCCATCACAAATAGCTTATCTATTTCCCCTACGAGCTCTAAATGCATTACACATTTCATTGGCTAAATTATCCCGAAGTGCACTCTAAGCATCTGAAGACTCCATAGTCACAATGGGATTAAACTCCACGAGGATGTTTGGTTCCTCTTATGTATCATATTCAACTGCTAATGGATCATTTAAGTTGTCCCGCACTATGAGATTATGGAGCAAGCAATAAGCAATGATTTATCGATTCTGCATGCGAATGGGATAAAATATGGACTTCTTAATATTGCCCATCTCAATTTCAACATCCCAAAACACCTTTCAATTATATTTCGTGTCGATGAGTGCTGCATGTTAAAACACTCTTGGGGAGTTTGAGGATGTCGACCCTCTCACCACTCACTTAGATGATACCGTTGACCTCTGTACAAGGCAAAAAACCCTTGACAATTAGTGTAGCCCACATCAACCAAATAAAAGTTTTCTGCATCCAATTAATAATTGTCAAAAATAAACACATAGGACACAAAGTCAACATGTAAACTCTAAACAATGAAGGAATTAATGTTGTATTTGTACCTTGGGCTACCTTGAAGCCATTAGGTCTATCAATAGCATCTCGTAACACTCTTCTATCTGCTACAAAGCCTTCCCAACCCTGGTATACAAGTATAAATTGGCCATCTGGGGAGCATACACCAAGTAGATTAGTAGTTACTTCTCCTTTGCTATTTTGATACCTAGCTTTTATGGAAATCAGAACTTGAACCTGTATGTGTGTGCCATCTAATGCACCCAAGCAGCCCTGCATCCAAAAATAATCATATAAGGTACCATGTATTACCTCATAAGTTAATTTCAAAATACAAGATGTATTGGTACCTTAAACCACTTCCACCTCTTATCATTTGAATCTTCAAGAATTGGCTCAGGAGTTTTAAAAAGTTCTCCTTGGATGCGCATCATGGCTCTTAGTACTATGGTGAAATACCTACTAATGGTCTCCCTAGACCTCCCAAACTCAAATTGGGTTGCCCTATTTTTCATATGATGAGCAAGTATACACAAGAACATAGCTACTTGCTCATCCACTAGCATGTGTCTAGATGGTTTGAGGCCACCTATTGTATCTAGCATACCACAAAGTTTATCAAATGTAGATCTATACATCCTAATTTGATTGTAATAAGTATTGTCACTACCATAAACCAACTCCCTAAGATGCCTGCTCTTAGTATGAAAATCAAGAGAGTAAGAACGATCTTGTATGCTCCTTTTGCTTAAAATAGTTATAGCACATATCATATTCATCAATATTCTTTGAAAAGCGTGAAAACCATTAACCATCCAAGCATTAGATGGAGATCTGCTTCGTCACTCTCTTGGTCCATATTGTCTGTTTCAGTTAACTATTCATATATATGTTTAAATTTAAAAAAAAAAGCCCATGGAGCTATCAACCATTTAGCACAAGGATACAAAGCACCAATTAAAGAAAATATAGAACAACAATAGTAGAGGAACATATCACTTAAAGAAATCATACTTCATTTAAAAAATTCATATAGAGCAACAATTCATGTCACTTAAAAAATAAAATCATATTCAAATAAATTATGAATATCACTTCCAAGAAAATATAACATACAAATTAATTTTATCAACGTTTTCTTGTTCTGAGGGTAAGACATAAGAATTCAATACTAAACCCGCACTCCTGCACCTCCAAACTACCAAAAAAAGATTAATTTCTTTTTTAAAGTATAAGTATAATTGTCTTGTCCTTTCAATATTTCAAATCCCATTTGTTCATATTTCATCAATATCAGTATATAAAAATATATGAACTAGTGACACACGCAAGATAGAGCTGCCAGTGTTTTTTGTTTGGGTTTTTTGAAACTAGAAACCCAAAATCATGGTTGACAAATTCTTCAACTATTTTTCTTAGCCCCCTCCCTTCACAGACGCACAAGATAGCGACTTCAATCAGAACTCAATGGAAAACAATAACAAAATGAATGGCAATAGTAGAAGAAACAACACTGAAAGAGGACAAAAAACCAACACTTACCTCATCAGTGCAAGTAAGGATGTCTCTCCTTCTGTTTGCCGCAAACCCACCTTGTTCTTGAGTGTCGCACCCATGTTTGCATTTTTGGAGATATATGCTAGGGCTTTTGCTGATGAATAAGTGGATTCCACCATTTGTGAGATTTCTTGATTAATGACGTGATTGCATAATTTGTGAGATTTAGCTGATGAACAATCCGATCGCATGAGATTGTGCTGATGAACAATCTGCTTGTACGATTTGTGAGATTTGCTCACGACTAATCTAATTAGGCAATTTGTTTATGAGGGCAAATTTTGTCTTTTCGTTATGTTATTTAGGACAAAATTGATATTTCATAAAATATTACATATTTGCAATGAGGATTCATAGGGGTTCCCCTAGGAATGAATATTACCAAAAAAATATGCAATCATTTTTACCAATGTAATCTCTTTTACCGTCAATAAGTCCAACCAAACAAGTCATATGTGGTAATGCAATAAGAATTACCATTGCATGTGTGCAATGGGATTAAACCAAACGGCCCGTAGTTTTCCCTATTTCTTGCCACGGTTAGTGATTATCTTTTTGTTCTATAATTAACTAATTTTGTTTACTAAGCACAGGTATTTTTTTATTGGATGCAATCCTATTTGAGGTACTGTTGGGTACTAAATGTAACCACCTCATCCAATAGGAATTCTAACCTCAGCTCTTTGCATTGTGAGTTACTAGCCCCTTCCACTAGATCCAATCCTTTGGTTTAATTAATTAAATTTTATCCATTTAATATCATCTTCAATTCCCTATGCACCTATAATATATCAACAACATCCCTGTCATTCTAAATTTCCTCATGGCAGATTTTTCATCAGAATTTAATGGGATTTCACTGGTTAGAACCAAATCCTGTATTATCTTAAACAATTTTACCCACCTTATGACTCTATATTTTTGTTTATTCATTTTGGTTTCCTTCCCTAGGGTGAATGACTGATCAACTGAATTCTCTGGGGCCCACATTCTACTCTATACCACAACCAATGTGTCCAAAATAAAATAAGAAATTTCAAAGTGAAATTTTTCAGAATCATTTGATGCCACAAGTGTCTCCTGTCTATAACTGATTGAAAGTAAAAGGACCTTGAGTTTATGTCTTGGAGACAAAAGCTGATTAGTCATTGAAATGATATGGCTTCCAATCCTAAACATCAAAAAGAAAATTTTCAAAACGCATACCTGATATTCAAGTAATGGTTTCACACACTTTGGTTTGCAAGACTCTTCAAGATATCCCTTAGGATCAACAGGTTCTTCGTCAGCCCTATATTAATAAAACACCAAGATGAAATAACAGTATTGAAAACTAAACAGCAGAGGAACGACCAGAGCCAGCAACAAAACTTACAAGACACATCCGATACCGAAGTTACAAAACACTAAGAAATCTAAAAACTCAAACTCCTAAATATGCATTAAAGAAGAAAAAACAGATCGCCCCGTGTAAGAAGGATATTACAAGTCTGCAACTTTAATTATGACTTATTTGCGATATCGCTATGCTCTTCTGGGTTAGTCTTGCATATAAGCAATATTGCAATCCATAAGTTTATCAAAAGATACTTCTTCTGTGTGATCCTACCAAAAAAAATTCCAGTTATTGGAATGCCATGGCTCCAAATGATTACTGTAGAGAAGACATTTAAAATATAAGAATTTGTAAGGTATCTGGCTTTGCATGCCCTATCTAAGTCCAGTTTTGTCAATTGCATTCACAAGGAATTTATGTCAATCTCTAGACCGAGAGGACACAACAACCCAAATGACAATAAGTACGGATATAGGGCCCAAAAAATGAGTTCAAACATTTTGTAAACCTTATTAGTTAGCTGCGTGCTTATTTTAAGGATAGGATCTTACCTTTTCTGAAAGTAACACAAAATGCAATCCAATATGAATCCTATGAGGTGCCTTTCTCGCGCACTCTCACACACAGAGAGATAAAAATACAAATAAAATCACGTCAAAAATCATTAAACTCATGAGGACAGTAGTTATTTCCGAGAGAATAAAGTGTCAATTTCCAAAATAAAGGTGAGCATGTATACAAAGAACAAAGTATGCATAAAATTCATGCAGCTGAACATGAGGAAACAGATATATAGCATGATTATTTATAAATATGCGTTTCTTATCTGCATTTCTTCCTATTACTTACAAATATGTCACTTCTATTTTTCAATATTGCTCATCCCTCTTACTAACCTATTTTTGAAGGAGGAGAATACAAACTTATAGCAATCTTAATCAACCCATAGCCTAAATTATATTTTGGTGATATTAATGAAGGTTTTGGGACGTACCTGGAAGAAACCAAATCACAAGTTTAAACTCCGATTGTGATTAGGGCTGGTAATACAGGCCAACCCGCGGGTTGTGGATCGACCCGTGACGGTTAGGTTGAAAAGGCTTGTTTGAAGGCAGGTTAGCTTTTAGCTAACCCTAACCCACCAAGATGGGTTGGTGGGCCGCCAATACTTTTTTTTGTTGAAAATTTTCTTTTATTTTGTAATTCTTTTTCTTATACAATTTCCAAAAATAGTAATAAATTTTTTCTTTTTCCTTAAAATATTTGATTAAAAGCACCAAATAAATTATATAAGTATTTTTTTAAATTTTTTTAGATAGGATATAATATATAATAATATAATTATAATAATTAAAAATTTTCCAAAAAAATAAAAAAATAAATGTGGGTTAGCCCGCGGGTTGGTAGGCTAACCCACGGCAGGTTGCGGGCCCGGCAATACGAGTTAAAAAAGCTCATTTACTAGTCGGTTGGCTTTTGACCAACCCTAACCCGCCATTTTTGGTAGGTTAGCGGGTTGGACCTGCCATATTACCAGTTCTAATTGTGATGCATGCACAGAAAATGATAGATGACACCATGGAGGAGAGAAGAAGCAATATTGATAGAGAGGGGTCATTTGGAAGTTGTCATTCAATTCTCCGAAATGATTGGTGATATTGATGATAGTTTTGGAGTGTACGCAAAGATAAGTGTCATGAAGGTTGGCACAAAATCAAATCACAAGTTTGGACTCAAATATAGATTAATTAAGTATTGGTAATTACACTTGACGATTATGAGTTAAATTGTTAAGTATTTGCTACAAGAAAACGTTTTATTGAGCTAAATACTAGAAGATTTTTGCATTACGACTGTCAACTATTTTTGTAACCATATATGACAATGTTTGCATATTTGACGGTTCATAACTATCAATTATTATAATAAATAATCGTCAAGCATTGTATTTTTGTAATAGTAAAATGATAACACCATGAAAGAGAGAAGAAGTAATAGCCCGAGAGAAAGGAGGCATTAGAAAGTTATCATCATTCAGTTCTCCAAAAACTAATTTCCTCAAACCCATTTAGCATATTTCACACATAGAAGTGATTACATAGTTACACGAGTCTAATTTAAATCACAAAGGGAAAACTACCGCTATGGACCCATACTTTTCCTCACTTGTATCGGGCTTCGGTCTTAATCCTCAAAGTTAGATTAGGTATAACCTAAAATCATACCATCTCACAAGCTGGTCCACATTACGTGGTTACATGGCCAAATATATTGGTAGGGGTTTAATTTGCTGGCCGGTGCACAGCCATGGAAAGTCAACAAATTTCAATTCATTAAGGGGCGTTGAAATAATTAGCATTCTTCTTTTCACACTCCTTTTCACGTCACTTTCTCTACCTACACCGCTCACTCTCTCACGGCTTTTTATTTTTCTTATCTTTTCTTCTAGACTACAGTAAGAGGTTGCAATCGGGATCAAACTGGTCACTTCTCGTTAATAGATGAGCTTTTATGCTACTATCCCAGCCAAGCATCAAGCGCTGTCCTATCCCAGTGCCAACTCTAGAGTTCATAATTCAAATACCTTCACCACTCCATCGGGTCACTGGCTCAACCCAGGGCCACATATATATAAGAAATATCCATAGAAACAATAATAAATACCTCTAATTTTTAATATAAGAGTTAGTTTCGCTTTTATTTTAGTGTTAAATATAAGACCCAATATATTTTATCTCATATATTTATCTATTTTTTTCAAAGTAGTTCTTATAATAGTAGTAGTTATAATTAATATACTTGACTAGTAAGGATATTTTAGGAAAAATAACACTTATTCATTACAAATAACTAATTTAACTAGTTTTCTTAATTTATTTAAATTAGTCAATTAGTTTTTATATTAAGGACAGAAAGTAGTATTTTTTTTATTTTTCAGAACACAATGATAATAACACATTTTAAAAATTTTTATTTAAAAAAACTGTTTTGAAAACAGAAAACTAAGTAGGCCCAATATTATTTGGATACTGATATTGTCCCATTATTATAACGCTATAAATATTTTTACCTCCCTCAAAAATAAACCCAACGCAGAACATAGCTCATTGTGATTAACACTCTAGGTCGCCTCCTCCATTTGCAATCTTGTCAATATGTGTGATGACATGGCTCTGCCTGCGGCATTTTCCGGCGGTGATGTAGTGTTTACAGTGAGGCGGCGAGAACCAGAACTGGTGACTCCGGCGAAGCCCACCCCTCATGAATTGAAACTGCTTTCCGACATAGATGACCAAGATGGTTTTCGATTTCAGATGCCGGCGATACACTTCTATGGTCACAAAACGTCCATGAGAGGAAAGGACCCAGCTCAAGTCATCAAGAACGCACTGGCTCAAGCTCTGGTGTTTTACTACCCAATTGCAGGTCGACTTAGGGAAGGAGATGGACGGAAGCTTATGGTGGATTGTAATGGAGAAGGAGTGATGTTCATTGAAGCCGATGCTGATGTCTCTCTTCACCAATTCGGTGATCCTCTTCACCCTCCCTTCCCATACTTTGATGACCTTCTTTATAAAGTTCCTGGTTCTGAGGGACTTCTCAACTGTCCTCTCTTAACTATCCAGGTCTTCCTTTCGCCCAGCACTTTGGTTTCAACCATATCTATACATACATACATACCTATATATA